TGATTGAGATGATTTTGCTTTTAAATAAACTGGGTTGTAATAATTGTTCATGAAATTCCGAGAACTTTCTTTCCAATCAGATATTTATTTATTTATTTTCATACATTTTACTAGTTTTTCAAATGTCAAGCTAATAGAGTAATTATGGAGCTCCCCACTGACCTTTCATTTTAACCCACAGTGCAAGGCAAAGTGCCATCCTGGCCCTAGCACTACAAAAGGCTATTTTAAGCAATGTCCTGTTTTCAGTTGACTGACCCTCGTATATACAAGTTTGGGCAAGAAGCTATCGTCTTTCAACAATACATAGAAAAAACTGGCATAAAGAAATTCAATGAAGCCGTGTTTCTAAGAGAGACGGCCCATCAACACTGAAAATTGTTCCCATAACGAGAGTTGCTGCGAGTCTTTTTATTGTCGGACACTTTCAGGAACAATTACACACTTACAGCCACAAGCTCTGAGGAGGATAGTGGGTACTAACATCGAGAAGACTATTAAGGAAGGCAATGGAAGTTTGTTGAGTACTCAGAGTTAATAGCGGAACGATTCGCGTTCCAGCAAAAACCCATCGAGTCACCCCAAAAAAAAGCGAGAAAAGAGGACTTGGTCGGAGGAGGATACTGTGGAGTCCTCCTCGAGCCCCACAGGGAATGGCGTAATGATTACGGAGGGAAGAACCTCCTCCCTCATACGCATACGTACGCCAGGACATCCTACTTTCCCCAGCAGTCCCTCGGCAGTGGGTCGCCGAGAGACAAAGTGAGTGGACGCACTCACGGCACGCGTGAAGCCGTGCCGAGCCTTCACGCAGCTGCCGCACAAGATCGTGCGGACTATTAGAGGAACTGTGGTGACAGTGGTCCTCCACCGGACAACTAGGACGTACGAGGACGACCCTGAGACTTCCCCACCAGCGTGAGGCTGTTATTTGCTACTAACCCCATTCACCTATCCCTGTTGTCTTCTTGTATAATAAATTGTGCGTAGTGTCCAATTACGCACCTTTTTATATAAACCCGGAGTCCTGAGTAATTCAAAGGAGTCTACACCTAGGAGTTAACGATTACAATTGGACGGGTTTCCTGCTGCCGATCACAGAGGTCTCTCTTACGAACCTCTCCGAACATCGCAACCCTTCCTGATAGGCTCCGGAGTGCGGGGGTCTCCAGAGAGTTATCACCATCTAGTCGTACAGGCCCTACGTTGATAACCCCCTTCTGTAGGGGCAGCCCTACAATACATTGTCTGCTTAAGACCATTCTTCTCTTCCATTCACTGTCAACATCAAGATTCAAAGATTTGGATTAGATTTAGAACAGACTTGTTAATTATTTTGTTCATATTTCTTTATACTCCCTCTGTCCAGAAATGATTGTCCTGTTTCACTTTTTCTTAAAAATTAAGGCATTAATAAATTCTGCTTGTGTAACAAAATAGTCTTCGGTGTCCTCTATAGCTCATATAGATATGAGCATTTGGACTCCTTTTAAGGTGCAGTTTTGGGACCCGAAAAATTCTTATTTTTAAGAGTTTTTGAACCACACCGATTAGTCCAAAATGACATCAATGGAAATTCTCGCTTCAGCACCTTGTGGAGGAAAGTCACTACTGCACATTACATCCCCGTTGCCCGTGCCCTCGATTGATCAACCGCAACAACCAACAGAAAACCTCATGGAGTCCGAATCCCTGGCGACCAAAAAAAACCTTACCAACGACCAGCGGCGCGCGATATACGACTTTCTTTTGTCGNATCCCTGGCGACCAAAAAAAACCTTACCAACGACCAGCGGCGCGCGATATACGACTTTCTTTTGTCGCGTAGCAGCGATGGAAACCTGAAGTATGGGTCGATAAAGGAAGCCTCGATCCGTTTCTCAGTTTGGACGCGTACAATCAGCCGGATTTGGGTGCGTGGCTGCTGCTCCCTGGCTTCTGGAGCCGTTGGTGCTGATGTTTCGTCAAAAATTGCGGGAAATTCTGGCCGGAAACCAAAACCCTTCGACTTGGACGCGGTAAAAAGGGTTCCGCTTCGAAACCGCAAGAATATCCGATCACTCGCGGCTGCCTTGCAAATTCCGAAGTCTACGGTCGGCGTGCAGATCAAAAAGGGCCTGATCAAGCGACACACGAGCCCTTTAAAACCGTTTCTGACCGAGGCAAACAAAAAGGCGCGGCTCCAGTACGCGCTTTCGATGTTGGATCAAGATTCCCTTACGACTAGTCCAGTGTTTCAAGACGGGCTAAATCGCGTCCACATCGACGAAAAATGGTTCTTCATGACGGAGGAGAGCGGCCGCTACTACCTTGTTTTCGATGAAGACGAGCCTTATCGCTCATGCAAGAGCAAAAGGTTTATTCAAAAGGTCATGTTTCTTGCCGCAGTAGCTCGACCCAGATTCGATCCCGGCAAGAATCAGTACTGGTCGGGCAAAATAGGCGTCTTTCCCCTCGTGTTTCAAGAGCCAGCAAGGAGATCAAGCAAGAATCGGCCAGCGGGAACCATGGAAACTAAGCCGATTCCATCGATAACGAAGAGCATCATCAAAGATGTTCTTATCAATCAGGTGTTTCCGGCGATTCGGAACGCGTGGCCACGAAGACACGGCGGCCAAGAGGAGATATTGGTCCAACAAGACAATGCGAAGCCGCATCCAGACCCTCAGGACCCGGATATAATTGCAGCAGGGAAGAAGGACGGGTTCAGTATTCGCCTGGTGTGCCAGCCACCAAATAGTCCAGATATGAATGTTCTGGATCTCGGATACTTTCGGGCGATTCAATCCTTGCAGCATCAAAAGGCTCCGGCATCTGTGGACGAGCTAATCTCTGCCGTGGTGGACTCCTTCAACGAGATGGGACGCGAAAAACTGGAGAATGTATTCCTATCGCTTCAAAATTGCCTTATAGAGGTAATGAAGGCTCAAGGTGGGAACGATTACAAGCTTCCTCACATCGGAAAGGACAAACTTACGCGTTTGGGCCGCCTACCGCTTAATTTGCCGTGCCCTATGGATGTTGTAAAATCTGCTCAAGAGTCCCTTTAAATAAACCCTTAACTCCCTTACAAGATCTTTATTGAGAAACAAATTCATTGGCTTCGCTTCACCGCATGCCAATGCAGGGTGAATACTATTGCCACAATGGAGGGACAAAGGTTACTTATGACATAGGGAAGTGTGTCCCTGTTGAGCCACCAAGTGAGTTCAGTTCTTTTATTGGGCCCATCAACAACTAACTACAAAATCTATAATCGCCAAGAGTCGTCAGTCGAAGTGTCTGCCAATCCATCAGGCGCGTTCTTCTTTAGTTAAGAGTCGAAAACCAGAAACAGGACAATCATTTCTGGACATGCATGTCAATGCAGGGTGAATACTATTGCCACAATGGTGGGACAAAGGTTACTTATGACATGGGGAAGTGTGTCCCTGTTGAGCCACCAAGTGAGTCCAGTTCTTTTATTGGGCTCATCAACAACTACAAAATCTATAGTCACCAAGAGTCGTCAGTCGAAGTGTCTGCCAAACCATCAGGCGCGTTCTTCTTTAGTTAAGAGTCGAAAACCAGAAACAGGACAATCATTTCTGGACAAATAAAAATGGGAAACAGGACAATCATTTCTGGACAGAGGGAGTACTTTTTTTTCTTCAGAATAATAGACTCCTATCAAAATACGTACACCATAGAATCCCAGTATGAAAAAAACTAAAATGAGATACAATAAATCATAAAAATTTATTGGCAAGTGTTGCAGATGTTTTGTGTTCTAAGGTGATCGTGGGACAACGCATTCGTAGCCTGACAGTTGATGCACGCCCAGCTATTAGTGTTGGCTTACACTGGTGTTCATTCGGTATGCGACTGATTTGACTTACAATTGTCTGAGTGTACGTGCTATTCTCACGACACCGACTTTCACTTTTATGTTGCCATGCGTGGGATTGATGCACGACAGTCTCCAGAATGCCATCCACTAAGTATCCCCTCATTTTCATCGCCTCTGACCAGCAAGAGAAAGTTACATGAAACCCATGGAGTCCTTATATTCAAACAGAGATGTGAGTTCTCAAGAGGATAGGTGAGGGCGGATGAGAGGGAAGGAATGAATGGCAGTGATTTGGAATACCCTGAAAGGAATCAAGATGGATTCACCCCCAAGAGACACCGAGGTGATGTCCTTGTGTCAACAATGGCCCACTGACACTGACAATGACTCAGACTCTGAGTTACGGCTGATAACGAGGAACTGTGGGATCCCGCATACAATGCAGAGTGAGTGATGTGACAGCTTGCAGGAGAAGATGAATATCCGGTCTCAACTCAGAAACACCCTCGAGAAACATCACTTAGGTCTTATTGTGTTCGAAATGCCCCAGATTTGACTTAAGACAAATTCCGACGCTCTTTGGCGATATTACGATCCAAGCGCCTTTCGTCACAAAATAGAGCCCTCGTCACAATATAATTTTTGCCAACGAAGAAGCGCAAGACATCAGAATACATACCAAGTTGAATGGAGGAAGGGGGTCCAGTGCTACTGTTGAGGGAGGCAGTATCATATCCGGAAAGGCTAGCCGGAGGAGGGAGTGGCGGAGGATGAGATGGTGCCCCATGCTCCACATGCACGGAGGTCACGGGTGAGCTGACAGCATGACCGTGAGCAGGTATTGAAGGTGGACCAGGGACAAGGGACATGGGTCCACTTGAGCTCAGATTATACATATTCCCTTGTAGATGAGCATGAGAATGGTGTTGGTGGTGATGATGGTGGTGGTGGTAGTGGGGATGCGGACTGCCAGCAGCACCCGTTGAGGCCGATGACGACGAGGATGACACCGACGGTGTCACTGAGGCTGACAAGTGGTACCCTCCTCCCCCATATGATGAACCCTGGAAAGCTAGAGAAGCATTCCGCTCTCCACCTCGGGTCATCAGAAGCTGAGAATCGATCTCGTTCAGCGCTGCCATCAACTCCCCTAACCGGGAGTTGGCCTCTTTGATGATAGAGGACACATTGGCTACACTCTTCTTGTCCGTTGATGCCTACAAACAGTAACGTACACATTCTCATGAGACCATCAGTCGAACGGCTGAATGTCTATGGTTCTGCTGTGTTCATTCACTTCTTAGATATTGTTCATCTGGCCCACTAAGTTTGCGAAAGCATAAATTACCTATTCACCTGGAGCTCCCTCATACAGCAGTTGCTTTCAGTAAAAACCCTTTTTTAGGACGGATCTCTTAGTGATCTGTAACTAGACCAAAAAAAATGTCAAAACTATAAAATGCTTTTGATTTTCCCCCCATTTATTTAGCATAACGCCCCCCGTCCCCTATTTTGAGCAAATCCTCGAGGATTAGTATAGTTATTATCCACATTCCTGACAGCACCAAAAAGGTGTTTCTTGGGCGTTTCTTGTTGAGATGGATGGATGGGGGGGGGGGGGGACAATAAAAAATAAATAAATAAATTTGGTTCCTTAAGCCTTCGCGATCTGTAAGTAGGAGAATTTATTCGTTTTGCGACCGTTTATCGCGAAATGGTTCCATAGTTACTCTACAGCGTTCACTCGTCTTTGCTCTGCCTTGCAGGTAGTGTGTCGTGTCTCTTACTACGTTTGACCAAGAGATGCTAAATTTAGTGCTATAATGGCGATCCATGTTCAAAATGGAAGAACTTTGTCTGGAGGTTTAAAAAAAATTAGCTCCTGAGAAAACAGTACCAACTCGAGAAATGATTCGTGCCATGTGCCAAAAACTACGCGACATTTGAAATATCATGGAACTTCCATCTCGCGAAATCCCAAGGATTCGGTCCATTGCGAAACCTCCTTTCACCGTTCAAAGCCCTCCTTTTAGCTCTGTCTCCAGCCTCTATATAATGCACATCATACTGCAAAAAATCCTTTATCATAGAACACAGACTGTGGATGAGGGAACAATGCAGGAATGACTCGACTACTCGATTAATGCGAACATGGCCACTGTTAACATCTTAGTTCAGAATGTGACCCTTATAACACAGCTTAGATACAGAAATTCGCGAAGCAGACATAGTCATAATCAGATTCCTGAATACTCACCTTGCGCAAATTTTCTGCTCCTTCCTTTATCTTGAGCTCCTTCCTGATTTCTCGCCGGATGTGATCCCGGGCTTGTTCAAGCTCATCGGAATTGAGCTCCCCCGAGCCTGAAGGGATCCCATACTTGTTCCCCAGCTCCGACAGCCCAGAACCCAGTTGATAATCACTCTGAAATGGAGAAAAATCCCGTCCGGTTCACACCATACGCATCCAGCGTGACCTTCAATGATGGGAAATGCCTTTTTGCCAATTTCTCGGGTAGGGCAATCAAGACTTGGCTCAGCCACAGGGGAAAAACGCTATTAGTCATATATCTTCATGACTTTAAGCGATCCCCTCGTTCTCTTCGTACTAACCATACTCCTCCCATCTTCCGTCACACGGACATTACTCTTGCCGCGAGAGGCTGTATCCCATGGGACTCAAGGTTTTCGAACGCTCTCGAGTGACTTCTATACGCCCTCCCCTATATCTTAAGTCCACTGGCCTCGAAGTGGAGGGAAAGGGGTGGCACATGTCAAGAACAAAGGCTCTATGGTTCCTCAAGTACAAGATCGCACGTGCAACCAACAATCCTCCCTCCATTGTATTCCAAGGGATGCAAGATTGGAACATGACCCCCCGACACGGGACTTTATAGCATGATGAAATGGAGACTTGTATCCGTCATGGGCCTGCAACTTCTTTTCAGCTCTCTGACTCACCTGGACAAAGAGGATGCCTGTCGTTGAGAGGATAGGGCCTGGCAGAGTTTCCGCATAAAATTACGTCGCACCCTACGGGGGTTACGACTATGGGTGACAAGATTGCGTAACCAAATGGAATAAAAGAGAAAGACGGCCTATGCAAGAAGCGAGAGTCTGATAATGAGATTTATTCGATTGGGGAAAGTTACGATTATTCTATTTTAAAGAAAAAGATTCACGTACTTTCAGTGCCACACCTATTTACTTGCCTCCATCTTGGCCCCCCAAGCTTAACTACAATTCGCAAGTCCTGTCCGCAGGATAAACACATGAAGGGATATTATTAATAGAAGCTCAAAAACATGATTTCCTAAGGAAATATTGACGTTGAAACTGTATAGCAACCCCTTGCTGCATCATATTACAATATCAACAACGGCTGGACTTCTGGACATAACTGCAAGAAAAATAAGCCATAGACATAATCGAAAGTCCGCTCGAACTATGCATACAATTTTTGAGTATATCACCACGAGTGGCCCTTCTAATAAGTCTCTCTCAAGCGCACCACACGTGTCTCTTTTGGAGGTCTACTTCTGACGAATTTCTTCAACTGCATTCTCATGTTGCAACAGTTTCACACTCGAGAGAAAATGCACGTAATTCCATTTTTGCCTGTGATGGACGCGGTGTCGAGAGGACAATTAAAAAAAGAGAGAGATAGAAGATAAACTAAGTAAATACATAGTGTGTACGGATGGGTCCTTCATTCTGCTGGTTATCACCTGAAGAGACGCGACGAAGGATATGGCCAAATCTGAATATCCCATTCATTATAGGAGATGTGGTCAATAGCCAATCCACAAACGTGCAGTCTCATCGCCCATTTATGACTCCCTAAGAGGGAATGTCAAGGACTCGCATGCACCTGCAATAACGCGGACCCACAGGAGAGGATAGCATGGAACGAATGCGGGGACTTCGAATAAGCTCGTCATTGTACACCCAGCATTTCGGAATGCAAACGCCTCTTTTGTCCACACTGCACTCGGGTTGTCTTCCATTCAAAAGCGTTGATACTCTAGACCCTCAAGAGATTATCAGGAATGAGACCCTCATCTAAAAAATGCTTGGTGGCGGCCTCAATCATCTCCGCCAGCCCGGCGGAAATGTAGGTTTACTGTGCTCGCCCTCATTATGTCTTCGCTCAATTCCTGTCTAATTTGGATAAACTCGTTAATTAACAATGGAGAATGGGCTCAGGCTAAAATATCACATTATCTTAACAGTGAAAATCCGGACAAGGGAGTGTTAATTGCAAAATCTATCCCAAGTTCTCAGCTGTGAGAGTGTGAGTCGATTGAACAACTGAGATCCTTCGAGAGCCAAAAAATATAATATATAATTTCTTAATCATACTGCATTTGTTTCTGCAACAAGTTCTTGAACCAGGGCCCTTAGGGTCGTTGTAAAGCACGCAACAGTCAATTGCTTTTCCCTTTCTCTGTATTACTCTGGTCTCCTGAAGTGATGAGGCACAGTCAAATCGGTTCCGATTCCCACGCACGTGTTCCATAAGCCCTCGAGGATCCTGACAGCCACGCAAACGGAGCCAATCCACGAGTCAACATTGCACAGTATAGGTAACTCATTTTTTAATAGACCAACAAAGTAATGATTTGAGAAAAATGCCGAAGTTACGAAACAACACTATCAGAGAAAAATGTTCGCAACACACCATGTATGGTGAAGATTCCCCCATTACCATGGAAAACGGATGGTGATGGGCTTTCTCCAAGGCGGCTGTCGACATGGACCCCATCACCTCTTCGCCACTATACTAAATGGACACGCGACCTACGACCCCACGTCTTTATAATATCTTTGCCTGAATATTCCCCTCTCTTATCGCTCTCCCCTTTCCTTGGCCCCGCCCGGGAAGTACACCGTCGATCATCCGAGCCTGAACTAGAGAACTGTTCGCGAGGGGCACGGCGACCATACGGATGAGCGAAGGGCCATTGAACAGACAAGTAGAGGATAGAGAGGACGGAAACGAACAGCGGTTTGCGGTCCCTCTCGATGATCAGGAAGTGCCTTGGAAACTGAGCAAATAAGGCGACTTACTTGCAAATTTATGCAAACTGCAGTTCCGAGACGTAAATGGGCCGTAGTTCGGATCACGGCATATGGTGTGACGTACGGAAGGCGCCAAGCGCCCGGTAAAGAAGAGGGGAAAAAAAAAAGAAGTCTCTGAACCTGCTACTGATATTACTCGCAAGGTCTCTGGCGCAGACTTTTAATTGAAGTCATTCGTCATTCCCCTTCAACTTATACGTTAACCAAATAGGCTTATCACGCAAGGCTTGATTCGACGTCCTATCCTAGCCATCACAAGCCGTGATGTGGACTGCCCCTTAACTGCGCAAAAGCAAGATCATGTCATCTGATTGTTAAGTCGCTGGACTTGTTCACAGATAGGGGATTGGTAAATCTGCACGACTCAACAAATGTGGTTTTGCCACTTAAATGAGACTTAGGAACAGAAAGCGGATGAGGGAGATGGTTGAGATACCTTGATGCGTTTCCCATGTAGAGAAAGGCGATGAACCAAGGACAAAGTTCCGTTTTCCTTCATCACGAGAGTTCCAGCCATGCCAAAAGAAGCGCACACTTTCCACCAGCACTCTACTTGGCTCCGAACGTTTCGAAATCAATTCGTTTAAAGGTGCCAATCAATCACTCTCTGTCAATAAAACTGAGCGATCCTCTGCGAAGAGAAAAGCGGATAGTGAGAGAAAAGAGAGAGGTATCTCATCCCACGTATTCTGGGAGGAGAAGGCTCGGGCTATGTAATTACGAGGAACTTGGCCAATCATTTGATGTTATGGCCATGTCAACACCAACTCCCTATTCGGCACGTCAGAAACCCTGACATGCCGAGCCAGACTGGGGATTGATGTAACTAATGGAGTTAGGGAACATGATCCCGGCTCCGCTCAGGTGTCCCGAGGCTCAATGTGACTGATAAGTAAAAAAGAGTCACCGTGAGTCACAGAGAGATATACGCGGATCGGCTCGGCAGAGCACAGACTGGAAACTGGAAGCCAGGCACCCGCTGCCCGAGAATAAAAACAATCATCCTCAACATTCGAGCGTGGGAGACGTTCCCAGGGTGATCTGGCCATTCTGGAGAGAAACAGCCGGAGGGAGGGATCATAGGGAACGATAGGGGGCAGCCAGGAGAGGGCGTGATGAATTTCACAGTTTCGAAGTACAATGGACTTCACCACCACGATGACAAATGGTGATAATTGACCAACAATCCACAGTATCTGCAGCAGTCACGGCTGCGCATAGACAGGAAGTCACGAGGGCGACACCGTCACCTTTCACTCAATCTCCCATCCATAAATAATGAAGTGCCCTCATTTCAATATATAAATTTCTGCACTTGGCCAAGTCGCAGAACCAAAAGGATCCGACTGCCATTGGTTTTACGGGATGGTTTCTGCTTTAACGGTACCGTCACATTGACGCCTAAGTCCGGCTGACCGGCGAGGACAAGGCTAAATGAAGTCGATGATTTCAATTCACGTCATTTCACGAAGTCATCGCCTCCCAGAAGAGCAAATGAATGGAATAAGTCTCGTTGGGTTCGAGGGCGCAAGACAATGAAACGACGAGATCTTTAAGTCACGGCGTCACAAGTTAGAGATGAGAGATGTCACCTAATCCTCCAATCACTCCTCAAACCTAATCGGGGACAATGAGACTAGAGACCGAGGGGCTAAGGTTTGCGAAGCGAGCCGGAACGAAGATCATCACACGTCGTGGCACATTTTCTAACGATGTGAAAACCGAAATACCTGCAGCACGAAACCAGGTGAGTCGAGACCATGAAAGGTCTACCAGAATCCACGAACCGTGGCAACTGATAATTTCGTACGCCCGTACGAAAACGTACGCGTTCTGAGTTGACACAGCTGAGAAAGAGAATCAACAAGGACAGGGGATAATCGAACAGAAGGCGAAGACTGACTGGTTAACAGAGAAAGCGGATGCGGCACTCCAGGTTCGGAGAAAGTTGACAGAAGCAGAAACCAAAAAAAGTGGAAGAATGAGCTAAAAAAAAAAAAAGTCACTTTCTTCCGACCGATGAGACAAGACCTGTTTTCCGAGCCACTTAACATATCGATAGAGTCCCGAAGCAGCAGAGGAAATAGCAGTTACAGGAGGGGAAAGTTCAGCCACGACATTCAACCTTCATTTGACCGGGAATATTAGGAAGCCATTTACTCTTGTCATTCCCCCTAATAATATGTTTATCCTGCCAGTTGAGAGAGAAGCTGTTCCACTCCGACTCTCCGAGGTCGACAACCCTACGATGTCACGAGTCCCTGAAGGTCTTCGACGATCTCGAACGAGGAGACCTGAAGATCAAAGACCTTTAAAAGATGCACACGAGAATCGAGACTGATACATGACAACGAAGAAAATACGACGGTGGTTGACCGGAGGAGG